TATATATATATATATATATATATATATATATATATATATTCCAATTCAAAATCCAGAGCTACTTAGTAGAATATGTATAAGATTCGATCAGGAATTGTGCTCTAGGGCAAATCATGCATCAGTTAATTTCAACAGCTAACCTTCAGATGCTAGCATAAATTCTGATTTATATTTAATCTGCCATTAATACAAAGGAAAAAAATGCCTGTCAGAACTTGACAAATGACCCTGCTCTTTGTTGTGGGAGGCTAATGAGGTGATCTTCCTTCTCTTGGAAAGTACTGTAAGCCTTTGAGTTTCTGAAAGTAACCTGCCATTAGCCAGCCCAATCTTTGGGATACTTTAAGGCTTTGTTTTGGTGATTGCTGTCTCTTACCACCAAAATATAAAAACTCAGATTACTTTAAAAAGTTCACATCTCACTAAATGGGAAATGTTCTGGGAATTCAGTTTTTGCTACAGACATACAAAAATATGTTATTCTTACATGAAAAATTAATGATTCCACACTGTTAGGAACACTCAGAAGTGGAGGGTACTTTGTTATGAAAAAAAATTTAAGTTGTTTCTTTGGGTACATTAAACCCCAGAATCAAGAGAATGCAGAAAGAAAACCTGCTCCTACTGGTAACGCATTCATTTTAACTTTTCTCGCAACCCAGCACTGTTTGCATAAGTAGCCCAAACCCCTGATCATATAATATGTATCTTTTTAAATTCACATTTTTAACCAATTCTCTCTTGCATTTCTTAATAACTACTGATGGTACGTACAGTGAGAATTGGTTTGCTATCCCAGTAGCTTTAATCTCATAAAGATTGTATCTTAACTTTTGAAGGGAGAGTTATTTGACATAAAGATTTTGTTGCCATGATTTTCTCTGCAGATGGAATCATTTTAAAAGAACAAAAATGGAATTGGAAAAAAAAAAGAGTACAAGTAGAGAAGAACAAAAGCTTCAATAACCTGCTGGCATTGTCTCTGTATCTTGACCAATATGTGAGAGACTAGCTCTGCATCTGAAGCCTTGCAGTAGAACAATGGATAATGCTGAAATATATTTTTTTTTTTAATCAGTTCTGTAATTGCTTACTTCTCCATCCAGAACTAAGAATTGGTCTTTAGGGAACATGCTACTAGGAACAACTTGCAAATGCAGTTTTGAACAAATTATGTCCATTAAACTTAACATTACAGTCAGAGATCTTCAAGGAAGACTGCTTCGGCGCATATTCATGCTGACAAATCTCCACCCTTTTCGGTTGGTGGGAAGTGTGTGGTCATTTCCACTTTTAACATAGAACATTTTCTCTTATTATGCAGACCAACAATCTCTACTGAATAGTAACTAGAATTTAAAATATGTTGACTTTAAGCTACAATTTCTGAAACTACTTTGGTTGAACCAATACAATTAATATTCATCACAGTTCTTGGGCAATCCAAAATTGTAACTTGGTTATTTAATATTTAAAAACTTAATACTTTTAATAGTTAGTAACAGGAGCAAGAACTTCTTAATGTGGAGAAGGGGTTTGATATAACTCTAGTCCTTCATGTGCATATAGAGAATTTCTTCATAACTATGGCAAGGCAAGCCATATTTGTGTTATTCCTTTTTGTCTATATCAGTGATGGCAAACTTTTTCAGCACCGAATGCCCAAACTGGAATGTGTGCATGCGCGAATGCACACACACACAGGCCAGAAAGTCACAGACCAGCTGGCCAGTGTGCATGTGCACGCCGGCCACCTGATCTTCTAGTTTCCAGCGTGCACACATGCGCCAGCCAGCTGATCTTAGCGTGTACCGGAATCCCAGAACCCCGAAGACCAGCTGGCCAGTGTGCATGCACACACCGGCCATCTGTCTTCGGTGTTCTGGTACACGTGAAGATCAGCATGCGTGCCAGAAGAGCAGCTGACAATGGTGCGCGTGCCCACAGTGAGGGTGTGCCACCTCTGGCACGTATGCCATAGGTTTGCCACCCAGGGTCTATATACTGGCAAGTATCAATACAAGTATCAATTTCTTTGACATTTGACAAATGAAACATAATGCCAAGGGACAGATAATGGTACCAGAAAGAGCTGGGCTACCTAGCTTGCAGGTTTGAAGGGAATTGGGACTCCGCGGGAGTCATTGCTGGGAGTGAAGGTACACCTCTCTTTTACATCTTTGTATTTTCCTTAGCACCCCCCTCAATTATATCTGATCACGTGATGTTATGATCTTATAAGTCCTTTCTTATCAATAGCTTCAGTATGTGACCAAGGTTTTAAAAATTGAATCACGTTCTCATACTTCAAATCCCATCCATCCTTGGATCTCTTAAAATTATTTTCATGTGTTTGTTCAGAGATTAGATATGTAAGGAACAACTGTAGTTCTGTAATGTTGATGATTAATAAGGCTCTTCTAAGTACAAACAACATCTTTTTACGGTTATTAGACCCACGGTGTGTATCTTTTCCTAATATCACAGCTGTCACATTACTGTCTCCAGCAATAAATCAAGAGACACTTCTTTTGTCTCTGAGCAAAGGAAGTAGATGTGTTTTGTGAAAGCTTTCGTCTATAATTTTATTCTTTGCCTTCATTGAACACAATTTTTAACTGCCCTGTTCTGTAATTTGCTTGATATATGTGTAACTAGAAGCAATGCTAATGTTGAAAAGGAACACCGTATGTGCTAATTTGTGTTCCCATCAGGCTGCATGTATTGTTTCTTTCCACATAATAACTAAGAGTAGGTTCGAAGGTCTGAGAATTGTAGAGCGAGAATAAAATGGGCTTATAGCTTCTTGTAAAAGTAATTTGTGTAATTCTTTTTAATAATTTGACAGAGACTTGCCAGGAGTGGCCCCCACAGAAGAGACCAGTATCCCATTGCTGCTTATAGATACAGATGGTTGTGACTTATTTGAACTTGAAGTGGAAGAAGAACAATCTAGAGGAAACCCAGGTACCATCATTTACTCTGCTTCATGATTTTTGTTTCCTGAGTCGCATCTTTTTTCTTTCTTTCAAAAAACTGCCCCTTCAATTTATATTACCTGTGTAGTGATTGTGTAATACCAGCTGATGCTAGGTAAAAAAGTTTCCTTGTACCAGAAAATTATGGTAAAATTTGAGTTATTGACTGTAATATTATACCGATGATCACAGGTACTGTACCTCTCCTGTGGAAATTGTTGAATATGTCTGAAAATTTCTTGCATGTCATGCTTGAATAACGTATGTTATATCCTTGAGGCAGATGAATAGCCTGTTTAAATTAGCCATGGGTTCCAAGGCTGTTTTTAGAGTTTTGTTTCTAGGTGGGTTTTTTTGTTTTTGGATCCAAATATAAGTGATAACTATGAAAGAAATATATTTTTACATACCAAAAACTCCATCCACATCACAATATACTATAGTATAACTAATGAGTCGTTATAAAACAGTGATGGCTAACCTTTTTGTCCTTGTGTGCTCAAAGCACACGCGTGACACCCCTTCTGTGTGCCTCACCCCCTGCATATGCATGTGTTCACCCTGCGCATGTGCACAAGACTCCCCACACCCTATTTTGAGCCTAACAGGCCTCCCTGAAGCCTCCTGGGACCAAAAACAGATTGTGGGGATGCATGGGGCGAGCACACACATGCGCAGGGGGTGGTTGTGACTAGAAGTAGCAAAATCCTAAATATTATTTTGTTTTGTAAGTTTGAACTACCCCCCGTAGTTAAGAGTTATAGAATTTTAAATTCGGCTTCAGGTGTAGCCTGAAAAAATAGAAACCAATGTTGCAATGAAATGACTGTGCATGCACATGGGATTGAAGGAGCTTGCAAAACTTAAAAAGAAGGAGCTGCTTTAACAATTCAGAAAGAGAACTTTCCTATGCATTCCCATGAATTAAGTGAATGAAACCTTGCCTTGGTGGAACAGAAGGCGATTAAACTGGTAGAAAAAATGCTCATGGGTTTTAGATGGAAATCAATTGTGGTAGGTTATCACTAATTTAGCTTTGAAATTTTATGAGAATAAAGTATGCATGCCAAAATTGAAGAACAAATAATCTGCATTTTAGAAGCTGGTCATACTTACGTTTCCTCTGACATGCCACTGTTTTTCTGGCATCTATTTTTTCCCTGTTTTTTGCCACTGCCCACTGTTTTTCCTGGCATCTATTTTTTACCATATGTACATAGGGTTGCAGCCCTAAATAGTCTCATGTGGGCATTGATGCATAAGTGAATGTCAAGTGATCTGCAGATTATGTTTCATTCCCACTTTTTTAAACAGAAAAGGCTCTGAAAAGTTATAGCAGTGCTGTCCATCTCTGTCTCATTAGACACATTCAAGGATACTTTTTAATATGCAGGAACATTTCATTCTCTGAACTTGAATGAGGCTGGTTATGTAAGTTTGAAATAATGTCAGATTTTTGAGCAATTCTGCAAAATAGATTGATCTGCTAGGAGAGTCTTTATAACATATTGATTTCTTGCCTGTTTAAAACACAAAAGGAATCAGATCTTTTTTAGAATCATGAAACTGAATAATAAACATGAACAATATGGAAAAGTGTTTATTGTTCTTTTAACTAGAGGAAAAATACCTGGTGATGGGGAAGAAAAAGAAATCCATGCATTTGTCTTGTTATATGAAAGAACTGGGGAGTAGGAGAGGGAGAATTTTAAATTCTCCAGTTACTGTTAAATTCCATTTTGCTTTAAAAGGGATCTGGGAAGATGGGGGTTATGGTCTGTTACCTTCTGGATCACCATATGAAATAATTGAAAAAATAACCACCTAGACAAGCACAGATTTCTTACCTCTACCCTAAACTCAAATACAAAGTTGGGATGAAGTTCTAAATAACAGGTAGGAATAGAGGCTCCCATGGCCAAGTTGAAAGCCCAGACCAATCTACTGGTCTTCAGCAAGACAAACTTACATCTTGATAACAGCTGGGCAAATTCTGTTTGTGGCCCAGCAGAGTTGAGAGAGCTTTCACTTTTAATTGTCTTGGCACATCTCACTCTGTCCATTGAACAAATAAAGGCACAAACCTCTGCAGTTAATCAGAATGGTTAAAGGAGCATCAAGAAGTAAAAAGAATTTGGGAAATATCGTTTAAAAGCCATACGTCTTAAAATCCATGTTTCTGAATAATTTTTAGTGACATATTCCAAAACAGCAATATGTCTGTGTGATTTGTTCTATACTTAGAAGGAGGATAAGTCCTTATTTTATTTTATTTTATTATTTATTTTATTTATTTATTTTATTTTATTAATTTATTATATGATTATTCTCTTTTGTTAGTTTTATTGTTTTATATATGAGGTTTTTATATTTCTGTAAGCCGCCTTGAGTCGCCATGTACAAATAAGTGGCAAGACAAATTTCCTGAAATAATTAAAAATAAAATAAGTCAAATTTGAGTAAGACTTTCTTAGCAAATAGTGGATCTTGCTTTATGGAACCAGCTCCTTCCTTGCGCTCCTTGGATTTCAAAAAGCCTATCAGGATGATTTTACATGAACAAGCCTTTGCACTCTGGAGTTTCTGGCACACATTTATTTTATTTAACTTTATGATGTTTCTTTATTATAATTTCAGTTTGGTTTTCCTACCTAAGGAAATACTCGTTTGGTATTAGTTTGCTAAGGTGCACTTCCCAGACTTAAGTAAACTCAGGCAGTTTATAAATACTGCAAATAACTAAAGTAGCTTTTAAAAATGCTTTCTTGTTTACAATATACAGTGTCAGGTTTCCGAAAGATGCCCTATGTCAACTCATAAAGTTGCCATACAGTATATGACACGTGTGAATGAGGACCATATTATGTTTTAGTGTGTAATGCAGCCTTGTTAACTGTGCCGAGGAACAGTTGTGGATAGCTCTTTTCTCATGTGGTGACCAGCAAGAGCTTGGTGAATGAATAAATGGAACAAAAGAATGTTTCTTCATATGCCCAACCGCAGATCATCATCTGAATCAACAACATAAATCCTTAGCAAGATGACCTATGGCATAACTGCTATATAAGGAAAATAGCAATTCTTAAGCAGTGGGAAATCCACATAATGAGAAAACCTTTATTTTCTTTTGGCTTCCTGTGATCTTTAAATTCTTACCAAATCAATCTGTGCTTATATACTAGATGATTATACACTCAGTGCTGGTTTTTCTTTTAGTTAGCATATGAAGTGAAGTTTACACATCGGTTTAGTTTTCTAATTGAACCTGCCTGCCTGCTTCTTCAACCTTAAAGCTGCTTGTTCCTTGTTGTTTCCAGGTGAGGTGCAGCTTACTGGTTTGCATATAGATGCTTTGATAGAAGCTGGTGTGAAAGCCAAAGATGTAGCTGTCATTGCTCCTTACAATCTTCAGGTTAGTGCATCCACTGCCATATACTAAGAAAACATGTCATGTTGAATAAAAATTGAAAACTTCAGTTCAAAACGATAGAAGGAAATACGCTAGCATTGATGATGTTATCTAATTTGGTAATGAAATGTCTGAAACAAAATCACCAAACTCAGAGAGCACCATTGATCCCACAGTAACTACAAAAGAAAATGAAACTGATTTGAATCTTGAGGAGCCTAAATTACTCTCACTAATGATAAATTCAGTGAGGTAGAGGCATAATTTTATTCTATTTTCTTGATCTAGATGGACTCATGTGCTCTGTGTGCTGTTTGGTGTAGATCTAACAACTGCTTCCAGCGTCTGCTGGTCTACAGTAAATTAGGAAGATCCCCATTCCTTCCTCCAGGCTATAGGTCCTACTTCACCAGTTCAGAAATAGTAGAATGAACATCAGATGTAGCTTTTTGTTCCTTTTTCTAGGCAGCAATCTGCCTTCTCAGATATAAGATGCTTAATTTCTCTTGGAAGGAGAGGACTTTTTCAGTAATATGGCATTCATTTCCTGTGCCAATAAGTGCTTTGTTTTCCAGGTGGACATGCTAAGAAAACATCTGTATCAGAAGTATCCAGATCTGGAGATTAAATCAGTGGATGGCTTCCAAGGAAGAGAAAAGGAGGCAGTTGTTCTTTCTTTTGTAAGATCCAATAGAAAAGGTAAATTGGCCATAATCTACAGCCATGCAGAAAGACAGCAAGGAATTTATAAGAAGCACTGATGCTACTGCATGTTTATGTGGTTGTGGCTGATTCATGGTTCTGACCGGGGAATTAAAAAGAACATTGCAATTTTCTATATAATTCTTTTCAAAAAGAGACCAGAATAGAGAATAGTAAGAAAATGATAAAATAATTGAGTCAACCTTTTTGATAATTATGGTGACTGCCATTCAGTTTAAAATTCTGTCTTGCAGCCACATGAATCATAACTATTCAGATGACTGTGAATGTAACTCAAAACACATTTCTAAAGTCTGTAAATATGTTTCTTCTTTCCCAGTATAATAATGGGGCATGATATGGAGAGGGATTTCTTCTCTGCTTCATATAGTTTCTGGAGAGAAAAATTGCCTCCCTTTTTAAAATAGATAAGCAAATTGTGGTTCATTGTTGTTTATGTATTATGTCTTCCAATATGGTTTTGACACTTGGTAATTACTTCCCAGGTTAGGCTTCTCGAGTACAAATTGGTGACTCACATATTTTAATGTGCCCTTTAATGTTTATTTTTCCATTTGTCTTCTGCCTAGCTCCTTATATGAGACTCAACCCCATCGGTTAAGTAGCTGAGTTGACTCATCTTGGCATTTGCTATCTGTTATTATAAAATCAAAAAAACCCTGGAGATCAGAAATAACTTCTAGAAAAGGCTTTGTCATTTCTAGCTATTTATTCAATTTTGGATGCTGCTTTTAAAAAAAAAGATTATGCTAAATATTTTTCTGACCTTTATCAGACTTGTTAATAATTAGAAATGAGTAAAACGCATTTGCAATACTTCAAAAAATCTTCCTCATGTTAAATTCATATGCTTTCCCTCCCCATTGTGAAACAAAATGAACATCTTTCAGAAGTCATATCAACTACTAAAAATTCTTATTTTTCTAGCTCCTGGCTGTTTAGTGATTTTTGTTTTCTTTATTTAAAAGTAAAATAGGCTGAAACTGGATTTCTTAGAAAAATATATTAAAATAACCTATCCAAAGCTTCAGGGTTCCTTAGGCCTTCCACACAGATTATTGACTAAAGATGAGTCTTTCTAGAAATTAATGACCTTATAAATTTCAAGCAGATTGTACTGAGATGAATACAAGCCTGAATTTAAGCATTTCTCTTCTTCCTTATTTCTACTTTTCAAAAAAACTAGGGAGGGCCTTCTGAGATCCTTCAAACCCCTCTTTTTCTTTTGTAGGCTGAGATACCTGTAGCATGATGGTTGCCTAGGCTGAGGTTTTTCCTTCCGTCCATAAGGTCATTTCCACATATCATTAGCCTATAAGACAAGTTATCACTCTGTCAATATGGTGTCCATAAACACTGTCGTGCATTTGATCTTTGTCATACACTGGATTGAGTGTGGTTTTGGGTGATTATGAGTCTTGGCTACATATGTTTTATACTTTGAAGTTGTCAACATGAGCATTCAGTTTGAAATTCGGCACCAGCAATGAAACTCCCACCTCAGTTTTCATAGTATTCCGCTAATGAGAATAAGGAATCTATAGCATGCCTGTTGAAATCTTCATGGGATCTGCCTATGCAGGTCCTTGGTGCTGAAAATGTATTTGGATTTGTTTGTAAATAAATAAACTTGTGTTCATGCGTTCAATCCATTTTGGAAACGTCATTCTTGGACAATAGTTTAGATAATTATAGAAAGAAGCAATCTACTTCACTGAATCCCATGGAGTTCAGTCTAACTTGTTTCTGAGGAAATATGCTTTCAATAAAACTGCCTCCATTATAATTACTTTACATGGTCTGCAAAGCTCTGCATCCTGACTTACTGTTTTTATGATGTGTAGGTGAAGTGGGATTCCTCGCCGAAGACAGGAGAATAAATGTTGCAATTACACGGGCCCGACGTCATGTGGCTGTAATCTGTGACTCTCGCACCGTTAGCAACCATAATTTTCTTAAACGGCTGGTGGAGTATATGAGCACCCACGGAGAAGTGCGCACAGCCTTTGAATACCTGGATGATATTGTACCCGGAAATTACACTCCCAAGAGTTCTTTGAGTCCCCGTGACCAGGAAAAGAGACTTAAATGCAGCATTGATCCACTCCCAAAGACTCTTGGAGAGAAACGAAAAGGAAGACCTACCCAAAAGCCTAGAGAGGGGCTAACAGAATGTTCTCTGGAAAGCAGGGGCAAAGTCACAACATCAGAAACCAAAGAGAATGAAAACTCACTTAAACATAAAGCAAGAATATTGGAGTTTCTGGATAGTGGTGAGGTCCAACTGGATTTCCCTTCCTCTTTAAATGCTCACGATAGAATGCTTATCCATCAGTTGGCTGAAGAATACGGGCTGCAGCATGTGAGCACAGGAGAAGGCAGCGCACGACACATAAGTATTTGTAGGAGAGATTCTCCTGCAGAATTATCTTTGGGAGATACTGTGGTTTGTCAACCTGAATTAATTCAGGCCTGTCCAAAAGAAGTAGATGCAGGCGGTGAAGAGAGGGAGAGGGGTGCTGGCCCGGGGGCCACAGATCTAAAAACGTTGCACATGCAACGGATGGAAAGAGAGAGAGAGAAGAAAGAAGAGAGAGTGAAACAAAGCCAAGAAGCCAATGTAAATCTTCAGGAAATAATTGGGAAGAAAGAAAAAAATGTTGGAGGTAAAGAATCCATTTTTAAAAGTTTAAAGATATTAAAAAACCCTAACCCTAACCTCTCTCATTTTTTCTTAATCCGCTATTTATTCCATTTTTCTTTGCTATCCCTACATAGATTCTCTCCTGGCCAAAGGTTGTTTGAGGAGCTTTGGGGAAAATTTTCAACCAAAATGACGCCAACAGAATTCTCTGCTTTAAATATCCAGCCTCCTGTTTTTATACAGTGCTGACAGAAGGAGTTGCTAGAAGCAGGCTTACTTCTAAAACACAACTAGTTTGAGAGCAACCACTAATTTTAGATCTAGGAAACACAGTGCATTTTCCACAAATAGACTTCTTTTGAAAATGTCAGGCAAATATTTGTCCTGACTTTTGGAAATACATGGATTTTCCCCAAAATCAGTATCGCTGAAATTATCAGAACAGATCACCCAGGGCACGACATGGCTTGCTTTGTGCAGTTGGCTTATTGCTTAGAACATTTTAAGGAGACAAAATGTTCTAAGATGCTTAGCTGACACCAAGCTGAGCCAGACTACGTAAATATACTCTAACATACTCTAGTTGTCTTTCTCGGCTCTTTATGTTCACATAGAGGCTATACATGAGCTTGCCAATACAAATGAAAATGTGGTATCAATAGAAAAGAAGAACTTACTTTGCTTTGTTAGGAAGGACTGTGTGCGCAAGCACTGGGGTATTTGCACATACTCTACATGTACCCATTTTCCTTGATTGATACTTTGGGGGGAAATGAAACCATATACCTTTTGAAATTCACATCCTCCCAGATTTCTAAAGAGGAAGAGGAAGACAATCCCCTCTGGTGCATGGATAAGACTGCTATAAAATACAGAGGCAATTGGATTTCTTGGGCATGGAAACAAACCTGTATCCAGGCAGTGCCTTTGATTTTGATCTAAAATCAAGAGTGTGGCCCCTAATTTTTGAATTGGTAACATTTTCTGGAGCAGCCTTCTCAAACTCTTGACACCCTCCAGGTTTATGGCTTTCTACTGTCAGCAGTCTTAACCCTGCTTTAACCCTCTTTTCCTGCAACTTCAAAGATCAGTTTGTCTTCATATACACAAGACAATGGGGTGTCTCCTTTAAGAGCACCAAACACAGCCAATATCAGATTGAGCTATGAGCAATCTGGCACCTGAGGAGAAGAAAGGTGCCTTTGTTTTTAACTGTGTTTTCTGGATTGCGGTGAGCCACCTAGAGACATTGTCTGACAATAGGCAGCCATGTTAGTCCTATAAACAAACAAATAAATACATTTCATTATTGCCACTCCATTATCGTGCTTTGCCTACTCTTATTTGTCTACTTTAGTCTTACTGATTCCTTCTGAAGGAGAAGTTGGTGCTATCTGTTGGCCATCTGGTCGCACAGGGCCAGCATCCTGCCGGTGCTTTTTCAAGAGGCAACTGGGCTTTCTGGTTTTTCTTTGAAGACATTTCACTTCTCATCCAAGAAGCTTCTTCAGCTCTGATTGGATGGTGAGGAATGGAAGGATTTCCAGAAAAATGTAAAACGCAGGTCCTTGGTTCCTGTGATCTGCAATTTTTCTGGAAATCCTTCCATTCCCCACCATCCAGTCAGAGCTGAAGAAGCTTCTTGGTTGAGAAGTTAAACGTCTTCAAAGAAAATCCAGAAAGCCCAGTTGCCTCTTGAAAAAACGCATTCGGGAAAATCATTAAACTCTTGATCAACACAGCTGTGCCTCTTTTATGTCCATAATAAAGTGTTGTGTGCAATCTTTTTGTTACTGCTCTCTAATTATTTTTTTGCCCTTATGCTTATTTAGGAAAGGCATCCAGTAAATCCAAAAAGGAAATTGCAGCTGAGGAAGATTTTGATGCTATGATCTCTGCGGCAATTAAAGCAGACAACACATGTGGTTTCTCCAAATGCAAAGCCAGCGTAACAACCCTGGGACAGCTCTGCCAGCATTGCAACAGACGCTACTGTCTCAGCCACCATATCCCAGAGGTATGCTTTGGTCTCTCCCCTCAGGCAGACAAGGCTCATCCATTTTCTTGCCTCTCCAACCCAGGTTTTTAGAGCCAACGTAATTTTCAGGTGAAATTGAGGTGCCATTTTTAAAGTATTCCATGTAGTTGACTTTTGAAGGAACCTCATCATAATAAAAGCTCTTCAATAGCCCTTAGACTTATATACCTCTTTACAGTGCTTTACTGCCTTGTCTAAGCAGTTTACAGAGTTAGCCTATTGCCCCCAACAATCTGGGTCCTCATTTTACCCACTTCGGAAGGATGGATGACTGAGTCAACCTTGAGCCTGGTGAAATTTGAACCGCCAAATTGCAGGTAGCCAGCAGTCAGCAGAAATACCCTGCAGGACCGCATTCTAACCAGAGCGCCACTGTAGCTGAGACTATAGGCAAATGCAGTGGAGGGTAACTTTCCCCCATTTATTTTAACTTGCCATATAATACTGTATATACATGGGCATATACACGCAGACAAATACATGTACTTGTGAACAAAAATCTATCTTTAGAAAGGTAGAGATGGGAGTTCGGCCTTATGAAAGTAATGTAGTGTAATAAACACACAGGGCATAATTCACAAAAGAATTGAAGCTATAGTTGCCTCCAGTTTAATTTCCCAATGACTGGAAATGTGTCCCCTGCTGTGCAATCAGGAGGAAAAATGTTGGTCTGTGGGGCTGTTTTTGCTCGTGGTCTTTAGGTTTTAAAAATGAAGTGGGGTTGTTTGTTTTTTTATTTCTCCTCTTGGTTAATCGAGTTATTTTTTATGGGGATCTGTACTTTTGAAACATCTTTTTTATCTCTTTCTAATATAAAGAATGATTTTATTTCCTTATAAAGTGCACAGCTTTCTTTTCACTTGTCCTCATTCTTTAAGTTTATATATACACATGTACACCTACTACCCTCTCTCTTGATTCTTCAAAATGAATCAGATGAAAAGAATGTGCATCCTTCAATGAAACAACCATTCTAGCCCATTAAAAGGCACCTAACCTTGTGGAGCAAGATATCTGTTTTTAATGCTGAAATAATGGAATTTTTCTGTGTCCTTTTCACATCAAGCTTCTGAGTCATTCTCTCTTTACCCCAAATCACTTCTTTATTTTAAACTCCCATTCACATTCATTCCCAATAGCCAGATACTTGAAGGAGTCTAATGCTTTGCATCTCCTCAGAAGGAGACCTTAATGTCCTTTGTATCCATTCAAGAGATAGCCATGAGTCTTATATAATGTGGAAATGTTTATTTGTCCAACTCTCTCAGGTCTATGTAGGTGTTCTACCAATGCAGCATTTTAAATCCTGTCTAACAGGAATACTTTAACACAGATTACCAACTAGGAATGTTTTCAGATACCTTCAATTGGGCCTGATTTATTTGAAATAATTGATCACAGTTTTTTTTAATCTCATGGGGGAAATGTTGTATCTAGTTACTAGAACATTTTGATCCAAAAGATAAGTATATACAGAAAAAAGTGTGCAAAGTTTGGGTCCTCACCCAAACTTAAAAACAGGCCAAGAAGAATGATTTTTATGGACCAACTATATTTCTGCTAGAACAACTATGAATCTTAAAGCAAGCTTCAGTCAAGAACAAATTGAATTGTGCAATTCATGAATAAAAATATTGGCCTGCAGAGAAACATCCTAAATGTTTGGATGGGGAGAAGTTTGGATTAAAAGATGTATTTTTTATTGAGTGCTTTGTTGACAGACAACTTTCGTTCATCTCCTATAGCAAGGGTGTAAAACTCAAGGCCCGGGGGGCAGATGTGGCCCAAGTGGTGCTTGGATCTCGCCCGTGGGGCCACCCTGCAAATAGTGAAGGACTGGTCTGCGATGCCTCTGCCAGTGAAAATGGAGCTTGGGAGGGGCGCATGTATTTTCCCTGGCAGAGGGTTGCAGAAGGCAGTTGCAGCCAAAAACAGAACTTGGGAGTCCATTTTCACTGGCAGAGCACTCAGGCCACCACAGGAGTCCCCGACATGAGTGACATTGAGCTGGCCATGCCCACGTTACCATGCCCGAGGTCAAACACAACCCTGAGGCGCCTCTCGAAGAAATCCAGTTTCACACCCTTGCCTATAGTCCAAGGCACAGGGTCAGATAAAGTAGCCTTTCCTATTTGGTTCCCTTCATATATGCTGGACCAAGTTCACAGTCATCTTCTCAGGTCTCAAATATTACTAGTTTTAACAATTGGTGTTTTAGTATCATTTTATGGTGGGTATGTGGGAGAGTATTTCAAGATTTTGTTAACTGCCTCATATATTCAAGTGATCAGAAAGATGAAATAGAATTCAAATTACTCAATCCAGTTGGCACCATGGAGATAGCTGACATATTATTTCTGTCTCTTCACTGATACTCCCACAGCTATTCTCATAGTTCCAGTGACTAGAAAAAGCCCACATTCATATGCAGAAAAAATCTTTCATCTTTCAATCAGCGTGGTAGCTGCTTTCATTTAAAGAAGTATGAACTGTCTATAAAGTGAGATTCACAATGTTGCTGAATGTTACATAGATCAGAGTTCTAAAAAAAAATCTAATGTATTGTAAATTGTAAAATGTAATAACAAAAACAATATATTTTGATTGGCACTTTATCAGTTTCAGGTGCCAGAAATTTTAGGAGCTAAGTTGCTTTCAAAAACATTACAAGTTTTTTTCATGCTACCTATATACAAGAATCTGATCCATTAATGATCAGCGCAAATTGGCACCAGATAAGACTTCAAGAGGGGCTGGAGTTAGATCTCTTTCGGGGGCATAGGGACTCCAGACTGATGATGTGTTTGACACACACACAAACATGGGCTCAGCCTGGTCATCTCCTACATCCTACAGCCAGTTTAGTATCTGTGAAATACCCGTGGTTCGCCCATGAGGCCAATGTTGAGAAAAGACACGGACACGAGCTTTCTCGGGATGAGGCGGCCCAGATTGGG